CTAAATCATTTCAAGTATAAATCGACAAAGTCTAACTTTTAATTAATCATAATGTTGGTAAAATTAAAGGAAATGAAGCACTTACAATAGCCATTTTAGAACTGATCAAGCATATCGAATCAGGGGCTCTTTTAACATATAGACTGATGGGGACATGTCCCAGCACTCTTACTGGCCCCTCCAGCCGGCAATTTTGTCTCCCCCCCCCCCCCCCCCCCAGTGCAAGGTCCCTAAGAACTAGCTGTAGTAGGTGGTCAACCAGCAATTATATATCAAAGTGAGAAAATCATGTTATAATTTGTTAACATTTCTGAATTTGACCATCATCTGCAGGCCCGTCACTAGCGGAGTCAACCGAGTTAGTTGACTCGGTAGGAATTTGGGGACTGGCTGAACCATGGCTGAAATAATTTGCTCGTGGAAAAAGGCATGAAATGGCATTTTAGGACGACCTTAATGACCTTAATGACCACCCTATCTTGCTCTTCAGTGACACTGAGAAGACGAATGCGTCGATGTCAAGTACTCCAAGTGGTGAATGATAATACTATACCACGCACATTTCATTACCGCATCATCACATCATGTTGCCTTACATTGGGAATGGATTACATTTGGGAGACTGTAAAATTACAGTAATTGTGTCTGTTTATAAGGTTAATTTCTTGTTGGTTCCAACCAGAAATTAACCTTATAAACATGCTGGAAATAGCTAATCTGAGATTCAGAAAATTCAAAATTTTCTGGGAGGTGCGCCCAGACCCCTCTAGACGACTCGCACCTTCGGTGCTCGACTCGGTTGTCTCAGAATCCTAGCAACGGGCCTGATCTGCTGTCCTATGACGTATACTTATTAGTTAAACCATGCATACTATGTTGATAGCTGCAGTGATACAGGCTTGCCGACTGGAACTTCTCCAGCCCCCCCCCCCCAGTTACACATCCTCAAAAGAGGCCCTGTACCGAATAAAGGGTTGAACTTATAATTTGCACTTCAAACTATACCAACACGTCAAAGCAAAAAAACACAACAGGGATTATAAATGCATGCGGGTCTAAACTGCAGGTGCAGGTTGATATTGTTTTAGGCAATAAAATCATAAACCTACCCCACATCCAACCCATAACCCTAGGCTTTTCATCCTAACCAAAACTCATGGTCTCTTTGTTCTGCTTTTTGGGAATGTTAATCTCTTACGTGTCTGCAGGAAGGGTTGGCTGTGTACGTAACCTGTTTTAAACCCCCCCCCCAAAAAATAGAGTGGAAGGAAAGAGGGGAGGGGGTGTCATGATTGTGAACACCTTCGTCAAACATGAAGTTAGGATCTTATGAGAAGGCAGGATCAAGTGTATATTCAGGGGCGGATCTAGGATTTTTCAAACATAAGTCGAACGCCGAAGTCGTGAGACATGCTAGGGGGTCTGGGGGCATGCCCCCCGGAAAATTTTGAAATCTAGAGTCTCTGAAATGCGATTTCAAGCGTTTTGGCGTTGAGATTTTACAGAATTCCAAAGAATATAAAATACATCAAGCACTGCTTTTTTTATGATCTTACAAACGTGCCTTCTCCCAGTCCTCGGAATTAGATTTACTAACGGAGGGTCATATTACAAAACACATCATGTAGTTTCAACTTTCAATAGCCTTTGAGTTTGGCTCATGAAATCCTTCGTAAATTGAAATGATGTGATACCAATGACCGATCCAATATAACTCGCTGTTTGTGAATCAAAATCCTCAAGCAAAATAAAGACAAAACTTTGTAAAATGCATTTTTTATGAATTCAATGAATTACAATACGCTATAAATATCACTTGTATATTATAACGATATTCATCGCAAATCTTGTTGAGATAAGTACTTTTAGTGTTTAAAGTTTAAACTCAAAAAAGCCCTGGGAACGAGGTTGGTTTAAACTATATTTATATGGTTGATATTATTTAGCATAAATTAACATAACGTACCGTAATACAGTTAATATATACAGTACATCGGACACGTGACTATACGTTGGTTGAACGTTATTTTGATCCGCCATTATCGGTGTAGTTGTTGTTTTCAAGCGGGAAAACTATATTTTGTGAACCTTTTAGTTTCTTTTACAACAATAAATTACATAATCTAACAAATCTTTCATGCAATGCAAATCATCCAAATGATATTGTTTTAACACTTCAATGGCAATGCTCTATTCTGGCCCTTTTTATAATGGGCAATGCATTTATAGATTATAAATACAGCAGGAAAGCTATAAGGCCCGAAAGCACATTGTACTAAGTTGCAAGTCGATTGCGTGTAAAAATGTATTAAAGCGTGTTATATTTCAACTTTGCATTTATCAGTACAAGATACATTGCAATATATTAATTTCTGTTTCATAATTTTGGATATTTTCATACATTACAGCAGTGCACACTTTCCCTTTGGCTTTACCACCCAAATTACGACCATGATCTTGGTGAAACACGTAGATGTTGTTGAACAGAACAACATTATAAAAGCTGCTTGCTTGATATCTTAGCTGCCCCACAATAATACTGATTCAGAGACAATTCAAGTTTATTAAAGGCCGTTAAATCGTCTCGTACAATCGGCCTCGTACATATAAATACTCGACATCGCAATTAAAATAATTCTCCCAACTATTAAAAACCTTCATATACGGGAATATGAAAGACTGCTTTGCATGAATTTCGCAATTTTCAAGGACTGATATCCCCAGCCGCGAATAAGTCAGTCCGAATCAGTCCAAAGAAATGAACCAATAGGAATTGTCAATAATTTCAAATTGACCAATCAAAATGAAAGAAATGGACTCGTCTGATAAAAACTCTCAAACTGTTTGTACCGGTCTAGGTAGTACCAATGTAGAAATGCTGTGCTGAGTGGTTATATTACTACCTTAAAAAATAAGCAGAAACTCGACGTTTCGAGCGAAGGCCCTTCGTCAACCCATAAAAACTCCCTTAAGTTGCAAATCAGTCCGACCATAGCCCGCGTGCAGGCCCAAGGGAACTGATAGTGGGCCTGCAAGCAAGGCCCGGTATTTTGTACTTTCCGCGTTGGGCGAACGCGGCATTCTGATTGGCTGTTTGCTGTTGGATTTTATAATTAGGTCAGTGATTCATCACAAAGCTCTCGATAAGCTCAAAATTCGAAAATTGATCACTTTTTTCGATTATAAATGGAACAAGAACAGACTGTTTATTGTTTACTTGAAGGAAGAGATGTTTTTGCCGTTAATTATGCCAATGGGGATTGCTTGTCCTGAGGTGTTGGAATTGCAATATTACGACTGGGGTAAACTATAGTAACCTTTACTTGAGTTTCATTAATTTCAATCAGACTTGATACGTTATATGTTCCTCAAGAAAATTATCTTTTGGTTGATGTTGAGATGCAGTTGCATGTCTAAAGCCTATTCGAAACACTTTGCGATTTACAAGGCTTGGCTGAGAGAGCGAAACAGAAGACGGTATTAAATTGCCGTTTGAAACGAAATGATCTGGACTCTGAACGCTCTCTTCTTTTGTAGAGTTCTTCACCAAATAAAATAACTGAAATAATTAAATTTCGTACTTTCCGCCGCCAACAAGAATTGCACACACGATCTGATAAGTGAGACAATTTATTTATAACAATGCGAATGACGACAGCGAAGCACACATAATATAAATGCTAATGTGGTCGCACGACTTCCCTCACGATTCGTGAGGGAGTCACGATTTGAAGTTTCAGACTGGTTTTCTGTTGAAATTCGTCCTAATTTGCCTGTTCCGATTTTAGTTGAAAATGAGCACTTGCAAATTTGGTAATTACTGACTGCGTTGCTTGCTTTTTTGGAGTTAAAACGCAGCCATTTACACATTGTTTATGTTCTGAATAAGCAGAGAAAACCCCGCAACATTTTAATGCGAGTTTGTTTGTTAATATTTTGGTGCTGTCATTTGGTCTTTTTTGACAATTGACGCGCGAATGGGGCGTGTTATGAAAAGGGGCGTTTTACAAAAGTACCGGGCCTAATTGTTTGCAGGCCCACTATCAGTTCCCTTCGGCCTGCACGCGGGCTAGTCCGACCACCCCACAATATTTTCAAATTGACCAATCAAAGGAAAGAATTGGACTGATAAAGACTCAATGGCTCTGGGTACGAGATTGATAAAGACTCCCTTAAAGTGCAAATCAGTCCAGCCACCCCACAGATCAGTCGCGTTTTGCCGCTGCTCTAGATAAATCATATATTTATTCAAAACTGATCTCGTAAAGACGTATACTGGACTATGATATGAATTTCATATTATATTCGGGAATTAATTATTTAAATTTCGAAATAATAATTAATTATTTCTTTGCAAAAAATACGTCAGTCACGCGACTGATTGGACTTACCCTAGATCCGCCCCTGTGTTTATTTGCTTTCGGGCGGCGAGAAAAATAAAAACCTGCCGTAATTTTGTCGAGAAAACTTCAGAAAAATTCCCCATTGATCAATTTTCTTGCCGAAAGTCTGTGCCGGAAGTAATTAAGCTACGCTTGCTTCATTTAAGCAAATAAACGCCTGCTGTGCAAGTTAGTATTTCCAAACATTCCATTCTGTTTTCTTCAAAATGACTGAAAATTTGTTGGAAGAAGGTCTGTCTGACATTTCAAATCGTCTTCCAACGGGATATTAGCCTGCGTGGTAGGCCCTCAGTTTTATGGGGGGCCTGAATCCTTCCCCGTTGCAAATGAGGCCCCCATAAAACTGAGGGCCTGCCACGCAGGCTAACGGAATATGGGAAGAGTTTTATATTTCAGCTGTTTATTATCGCTAATTCAACCTAGTTGCAAATGTCAATCACTGTAAAGGGGCGAAAACGCTTTTCACAATGGTAGCAGGGCCGCCGAGGTAGACGTTGCACACCCGGGGCAAAAATTGCCCAGGGGCACCTATGATGTCATACTTGTAAAATGGGAGAAGCAGTGTTTCACAATATATTACACTTTATTGTGTATTATCCACCATTAACGCAGCTATAGGATTCATTTTCTCAGTTAAACAAAGTGCCCCCCCCCCCTCTCGGCGGCCCTGAGTGTAAGGAATAAAGAAAACTTATAGATTAGACAGAAATAGAAAAAGGTCTAGGGTAGCCAGGGAATTTCGCATTTTCACCACATCCTGTGCCAACTTGGTACCTTTGCGGTTCAGAGGCTCTGGTACAGGAAGCAACCCAATAAAACAATTTTCGTTTCAAATTTGCATTAATAAATTTGCTCTTTAATATTCAGTTCTATCCGCAAGCAAGATGACCAAAATCTTGAATAATCAGCCTAATACGACGCATGCACAAACGTTTTCATAGCAGTGTTTTGGCAGGTTTGAAATATTTTTATAAGTGCATGGCCATTGGCCAGTCGCATGCGAGGTTCAGATTCTGAACCTAATCAAATTTGGAAGTGAGAATCGCAATCGATTTGACCAGTACCCTGAGAGCAGATGCTCTTTCGTCTAGCTTTGTTTCGCCTGGAACCAGAATACACATATGCTTGCTGTGGCATTGCAATGTTGGTTGTGCGTACCACAAAGTCAAAAGATCAAACTTGCAATGTTGTATGCGTCACAAAAGTCATGATATGATTTAAATGATAGTCACACGATTCATCGGAAACACACGATCACAAAGTGTTTCAGGACTTTACTTTATATAAATTAAGCCAAATAGGAACATTAATTCAACAGTACCTGACGCTTTATGAATCCGGGGTTGCGAAATATTAAAACCAGAGAAACAAGCCATATTTATAGGCACTTTCAATCTACAGTCCGACATTCTCCGTATTTTACCAAATAGCTCGAGCCATAGCCGAACTTTTAAGACTGATTCAGCGAACTTTACGACAGCAAACTTTTAAAATTCACACCATTTTAACGACCTTTTAATTACATTGCTCTTCTTTCTTTATTAAGTCTCAGATCACTTGCCAAAAGTATCACAGGAATTGTGACTCAATGATTCATGCATACAAACCTTTATATTGAATATAAACAGTTTGGGAGTTCCCCAAGGGACTTTCCCTTTGGAACATTCCCAAGGGACTTTCCCAAGGGACTTTTCCAAGGGACTTTCCCAAGGAACCACAGTAGCCCAGGCTCTGTGTGGGTATTTACAGTTTTATTATTAAACTAGAAGTTACTATCGCAAGTGAAGTGCTGCCGTATATATATTTGCAGGGGCAGGCTCATATTCTCCCTTGAGCCTGCCACGCAGTGACGCAGGCTACACCGGTCAACCTCAGAGTCAACCTGGTTGACTGAGCAAGACAGCAAGTTCTATGGTTTTTATACAGTTCACCATTCTCGTCCCCAGAGCCATTTTCACTCGGTCACTCGTTGAAAATTAGGCTCTGAGATAGACGACTAAAGGAAGAGATCTGATTGGCTTCTCAGAGAACTGCTATGTCGCAGAAGTTGAGCAGTTTTCGCTGGGCAAAATTATTCTATCAACATATGTCAACACAAATACTTCGTTTCTTCTTAATACTTCACTGTGAAAATTCTTACGGGTGCTAAAGTGTCCCATTTCAAGAGCATGCGCTTTAGAAACTACTGCAAGTTTTCTTGCACTTCCGGTTCCGTGTGTCCCAGGGCCTAGGACTGGGGAGGACGCACGCGGCCGAGAGGTCATGGGGACGAGGATGACAGTTCACAAGCTTGAATTCAAATGTTAATATTTGTTTAATTAAATGTTTAAACTGCAATCTGCAATAAAACAAGTTTTAATTTATTTGAATATAACACAAAGGGAATATATATTACAGAAAGTATAGAATTTTGGAAGATTATGAAGTTATTCATCTTAACACAAGCAGAGCTTTCTTTTGTTACTCTGTTGGGGATGTGAAACTGAACTAAATTGTATATTAAAAGCAAGGTAAGTAACAAATAGCATGGCTAACAGGCTATTTATTGCTATTTAATGCTAATTATATCAATAGTTAACCTTTACTTCCCCATTATAAATAGTGACAAAACATAACCTAAACATAACCTACATGTAATTATGTAAATACCTAATATCAATGGCTAATAGTAATCTAAGTTGAAGTCCATAGTGCTTCATACTATAATAAGAAGACATAAGTCTTTGAAATGTTAACACAAAGTCAATAGTCCATAGTGCTTCAGAACATTTGAGAAGCACAAATTTTATGAGGAGCATAAATAACAAAGGCATGCAGCCATGTAATATATGGTACTAACTAAGTGATATGTTAGTAATCTCATTTCCAATGTTGTCATATGTAAAATCAAATTTTTTGCAACAGCAATCAAGTATTGAGAAAACCAAATCTTTCTCTGAAATGGTGTCCAGTTCCACTAAAGAACCAGTGATGGCAACAAACTTCTTTAGCATATGACTGGGAAGAATCAGACGGACATTTTTGGACGATTCATCTGGTTTCACTAACAATCGGACTGACCAGAAGCTGGGACATCGTGTTGCGATCTGGGAAAGGTCACATGCCTGGCACACAGCTTTATTTCCCTCTACATTGACAGACCTTTTATGACAGCCTACACATGCAAGGGATTTGGAGGCTCTCTGTACACCAAGAATAGAGCCAGAGAAAGTTGAGATGGTGTTTACATCTTCTTCCAGTGGCACAAGAGGGGTATCAAACTCTTGGTATTGTGTCGCAGTAAAGTCATCTTTACGTGGGGTATTCAGGTAGCGTTCATATTTGGTAACTTTCACCCGGAGATTTTTGAAAAGATATGTTTTATTGATTTCAAGGGAATTTACATACCTTCCCCAAAGGACTACCTTTACACAAGCAGTCGGATCTCTGATTATTACTTCTTGCTTTTGGGTGCTGCCTGAATACTGTGTTGTTACCATTTTGATGCCAGATATGCTTGATGCTTCACCTCTTACGCATATCAGTTGCTCACCAGCGAGGTTATGGATAGCAGATAATTGAATTGGTTCTCCACTTGTGCTGGCGGCCAATTCGTCAGAATATGGGAATGTGATTTGATCTTTTTCCAATGGGGTCATCTTCGTCCATTTCGTAATGATGATATCATCAGATGTGTCAGCTTGCTTGAAATTTCTCATTTTAACTGGACTTTTTGTTGCAGCTAGGGCTTTAAGTTCTGCCCTTTTTTCTGGCGAGTAGCAAACTGCTCTCACAGGCCTGTCATTGCCCTGCACAATGCAATTAAAATACTTTCTGTTTGACGATTGTGCTTTTTGCACCGTAGAAATGCTATGCAGGTAGCAATCCATTCCATCATCACTTGCATCGCCTGTATAATATTTATAAAAAACCATTAATGTTGATATGATATAATCAGAAAACAACAATGAATAACAATAAACAACTCTTGCTTTAGCCAATTGCTATGTACTTTAGAGAAAATGTCCGAACAATCTATTTGATTTGTGAAAAGAGACTCAGACAGCTGTTAACTGCAGAGAAACCTGAAGTAGCTGCAGAAAAACCTTTTTTAAGTCTCCAAGAACTATTTTTATCACAGATTAAACTGTGACATTTATTAGATATTTGAACATATGATGGTAGAGCGTAAAAAAACCTTGTGGTTCTTGTTTCATATCGTGAAAAAAATTAGGGTTGGTAGGTTGGAAATTAATTTTTCTTAATACTTTTTTCATGGTTTTGGCATTTTTTGCTGGGCGATTTGCAGTAGAGAGTCCCGACATCAATATTAACTAGAAATGCATATTTCCTATGGACGAATTTAGGTAATTTGTTTCAACAATTAATTAGTGTGACAACAGATGCCATTTTGGCACGGTGTATGAGCAGCCTGCAACCCACCTGGAGAAAATAGGGTCACACAGTCAATCGCATTGAAAAAATAATAGGGTCGGCAGAAAAAAATAGGGTCAGTCGGGAACCGGAAGCACAGGTATTTTTTTTACGCCTAGGATATTGAAAGAATGAGCAACATAGGTCATAGTTGTTCCACAACAGCAATTACATTTTTACACATTGGTAGTGGAACACAGTGTATGATAATGCATCTATAACAATTTGTTATCAGAGAGGATGGTATGAGGCCAGATTGTCATGGCATTTTATTTATTTAATTAATGTGCACTTCTTAAACATTGCAAGCTCATATAATAGAGAACAATGTGATAACATTATCATGGCTGTTCCTTTGGCTTTGACTTCAAAAATTCACCTGTGATTTGCCTTTTGTTGTTTAATTAATGGTACAGGATGTTTATATATTGTTATGGGAAACGCTTCTTAATATGTCCTGTATGGTGGTTTTATGTTAGTTGGAGGATTTTGATATTACCCCTTTTGGTAATTTGTATGGCAGAATGTGATATAGGAACATCTAAATGGAAAATTTGCTTTCTTGAAACAACTGGACATTTTTTTGCCTTTTTTTCAAATCACTAGAAGACGGGCAGATTTATTTGTTCTATAAAGAAAGAATAAAGGAATTTCGATCAAGATTTTTGATGTCGGACAGGGCAGGGTCAGAGGTATCCGTGGTCAAATTCATGCTAACGGCCAAGCACGTTTTCTTCGTCATTCCATCATATACAGACAGCATCCTAACCATCCATTACGAATCCTTACTTCTTTACCTGATTTTTCTGAGAGAGATATGAAATCAGTAATTTTTATCCTTATTTGTTACTGTTTTGGATGAGCAAAAACAATAAAAAACCCGGCAATGCCATATGTAAAATGCATATTTAATAAGGCTAAAACACAAATCCTTTAAAATATACGAAAAATATACCTGAAGCTCCTTGGTGTTCTTGACTCATCTAAAAAGAATGAGAACTTTATCATTAAAATAAATTTATACCTGAAAACTTGTACAATACGTGGATTTGTCGTTAGCACTACAATTTCGAACACGGAGTAGAACTGCCACCGCATGGCCGCATACTGTGAAAATATGCCGCAAATGAAAAAAAGCGTTTACTACGTCTAATCGTGATTCCTAGTAGTTATTAATTACAAGCAATCGTAAAAACAAAAAGATATTAACAATGAAGACAATACAACTCACCATAAAAGGTTCTTTTCGATGAAAATGGTTCGTACTTATATCGCGTTACTGTAACAAAGCATGTGCTCATTCGAAAAGGGCGGACGGGGCTTCGAACCGAAGCTTACCCATGATGCCTTGATCAAATCCAGTGATTGAATCAAAGATCTCTATATGAACTGGATTAATTTGTACTTCTGCACAAAAGCCCAAAGTTACGTCCTATCCCGTCATGTTGAGTCGATGTTTCTGTTTGATATTGAGCTCACTAGTTCTAATAAAGTTTGTTTATTATGTGAAAATGTATTTGGACTCTAACACTATCCAAGGATATAGTACAATGAACGTTTTTTATATAATGCACATGTTTGTACTGGTCAGAATTTTCACAAGGGGGAGGGCAGTAGTACAGTACAGTCCATTATTGTTTGTAGTACAGTCCATTAGTAAGAGTAATTTTAATTAATATATACATAATAATACAAATGGCTTAAGAGAACTAAAACTATATGTTTGATTTATTATAACCACATATTCCAATGTCAGCTTTTACTAACTGGAAAATACGTGTTAGTTTATTCTTTAATGGCAATCGAGTTTCTTTTCAGAGTTTGTGCTTATTTTTCAGGTAGTAAAATACCCACACACTACAGCAAGTTTACATTGGCACTATCTACATTGGCACAGACAGTTTATAGGTATATCATAATCTAAAAAAGAATGAGTTGTCCACATGATTTTACAACGTGCGCTGTACAGGATCAGACTGTACGTTAACTTTCTACTCAAGTTACAGTATTTGCTTCAATGTTCACTCAGCCATATTGTTTTGGTATAGTCGTTTGGAAAATACATCGACTCAGGAAGTTTTGAATATTTTCATGTGATGCCAGTACACTGTAAACCAGTAGTTTTAATACAGCACAGCAGTATTTTCCTAAAGACAACCCGATGGTGGGAATATTCAACAGCTTGCTTTCTGTTTCAGTTATTCAATACAATTTATTGTCCAATGTCCATGGAAGCAAATCAAACTGTTGACATCATATCCTCCAAATGCACTTCACAATTCTCAATCACAGCATTATATATATCCAGTTTGTACTGTTATCATATGAACATAACCATGCCATTTTAAATTGAAACCGGCAATATGACGAGGTCTTGTGAGTTGTACTGTAAGTTCATGACGGAAAGACAGAAATTATATGTCATTGTTGTATGAAACGAAATTCCACAATGGTCCAATGTAAAGAATTACTATATAAGCCTAAAAATAAATAAAATAAACACAGATTAATATACACAAAAAACTATAGACAGAGTATGATTTAGTTAGAATTAGATACTTACCATTTTTATTAAATTAAAAGATGCATGTATGGGTTAGAAGGGCTCTATAAACATAACTATTAAAATAACTATACAAATATAACTACAATGTTATATACATGTATACTGAAAATCGCATAGTATCAATTTTTACCCAGAATGCTTGGATGACAATGTATGGTATGTACTCTCTGCTAGATCATCTAA